CCAAAGTGGGTCTAATTTCAAGTTTTTTGGTAAGAGGTTTGGAAAGTGGCAAATGATCTCGACTAAACCCTAGAGAGCACTGGAGTAAAGGTTTCTGAAAATTCAAGGGGGTTTTTTGGTTCGGTTTTTCTAAAAGAACAGAGTTCTAGATCAAATCCCAAACCTAAATCTATGCAGATACAGGAATCAAAGGCAAGAATCTGGAAATGAAGCAAAAAGACCAGAAAAGAAATGAAATTTAGACATCAGGAGCGAAGCAGAAAGCAAAACGATAAATGTACACATCTAAAACTTCAAGACATTGAGTGAGTGTGTGAAGATTAATGTGCAAAGGTCACAGCAAAATAACATGATTTGACATTTTCATAAAAGACTACGCAAATTCAAGATTCAAGAACAGAAAATCGATTCATAATCGAAGAAAAGAAAGAAACAGAGTATAATCATGAAGACAGATTCAATAACAACAGAATATATACAAAATAATGAGGGCTGAAACTAAAATTAAAAGAAATGAAGAACTCACCGGTTGGGGCCGAGATTCGAGAACGCCGGTTTGAGTTTCGCCGGAGTCAGACGGTGGCGACGGGAGAATGCTTTACCGAAGGAGGTAAATGGAGTGATTGCAGAGAGCTTCAAAGGTACAAAATGGGAGGTTAGAGAGAGAGGCTCTGAGCAGAGAAAGAGAGAGGGTGTTTTTGCAAAAGTGAAAAGACGAAGAGAGAAGGAGAATTTTGTTAAAATGCGAAAAGGCGGCAAACCATAAATGATATGCCTTGGATGGCGTGTCTGTCAGGTGACGTGCGCAGGAGCGACGCGACCTGGTGGCGCGTGTCAGGTACAAATCAATAAGAGAAGGACGTGTGAAGGAAACGGTTGAGAAAATCGTGCGTGACAGCTCATACGCAGATAGAATTCTTGAAGTTCTTAATTTAATGAGGCAAGAACCTCGGCAAGAGGAACGGTCTTGGATAAGGAACTTGAAGAACTTGGTTCTTGGTTCTTAGTCATGTCAAGCCGACGTGTGATGATCTCGGTCATGAAGGATGGAATACGTCTTAGCCGATGTGCTATGTAGACGAATGATATAGATTTCATCACCTCAGGATGCTGAGGCAATAGAACCTAGGAGGCAGTTGTGGGGACATATTTTGTGAATGACAACACGTGGCCAAGGTGGCACCGGAGTGTCAGCCGAGATGCCACGTGTCTTGGTCATGTTACCGAGGCTATCTTATCTGCGGAGATAACGGAATCCGAGATGAGCGGATAAGAGACAAGAGTCCTAAAATGGAAGAGGACCTCAGTATGGATAAAGATGAAACTCTTAAGGAGTTTATCTCTATCTGGCTGGGAGTCCAAGATGAGTATTGAACCAGAGTCCATTGAAGTTAGGCTTCTACAGAGATCAGGTTAGTGCTGGCTATAAAAGTAAGGCACCCTCGTGGGTTTAAGGTACGCCTTTTGTATTTTGACTAGTGAGTTGAGCACTATTTACTATCTTTGAGAGATAATTAAGTACTGACTTGATCGTCAGAGTGTCTCTGAGTGGACGAACCGCCACCGGAGTCTTATCTTTCTATGACAGGTTGTTCGGACGTGATTTATTCTGCCTGTGCTCTCTTGCTAAGTTCCTATTTGGCAGTGTGGTTGGAAATCAGCACCCACAAATCTATACCAACTTAGCTAACTAACTCTGACAAACTCTCCAATAAACTTAAAAATTCGATTTGTTTAGATATAAAATATTTTTTAATAGAAAATATTTTCTATATAAAAAAGTGTTAGAAAATGTTTTCAAAAAAAATATTTTTCTTTTGTTTGGTGGCGGCGGTGGTGGTGGCCGAGATGGTGGCATAGTGGTGGGACGATGACAACTATGATGGCGACGGTAGTGGCAATGACCGTGGTGATAGTAGTATGGTGGTAGTGGTGTGATGATATTGGCAAAATTTTAGTCAGAAAAATATTTTGTCAAAATAAATTTATTTTCCATTGACCATGAAAAATATTTTCCTTTTGATTTTTGTTTTCTAATGTACCAAATATAAGAAAATACAAAAAATATTTTTCAAAAAATATTTTTTAATCCAAACAAACGGAGCGTTAGTGATCCACCATTTAACTAAATGAAACTAACTCTTTTCCGTTACCCATTATCCAATAGTCCCATGGTAGGTTGTTCTAGTAGAGAGGTTTGGATGGAGGAAGTCCCACCTTGGTGGCTTCAGCTAGTAGAGAGGTGGTTCTAGTTTCCTTTCACCCATCTAAAAAAAAAAAAAGTTCCCATGAGAGGTGGGAGACAAACAAACTCTCTTACCATGTCCCATGGGAGGTGGGAGACAAGAGGGAGGGATTAGGAAGGGGAGCTCTTATTTGCACAGTATACATTATGTTTTTTTTTTTTCCAGAAACTTAAAAAAAAAAAGTTAATTACAATTCTATCCTTCAGACAAATTACCATTAAGGATAATCACACCTCTCCAAATCCCACCATCGCCGGCCACTACAAAACCCCAGGCCACAGGCATCACCACCAGCCCCCCAACACCGTGAAGAGTTTTTGATTAATGTATGAGTTATGAAGAGTTTTGGATCTCACTATCCAGTTTTGGCTAATTGTCCCAAGGGCATCAGATTGAAGGCTTCTGTGTACCAAGAAAACACTGAGAAGGAACCAACAAACCTTCAAGGAGTTGCTGAAAGTTCAATATTCATAGATCAATCAAGAACTTCTTCAAGATCAAAGCGGTTCTTGAAGGACACTTAAGCGATTGATGTTTGTGTGTATTTTGCATCACAAATTTGGCCGACTTCCAAACTGACCAGAAACCATAAGGAGAATTGTTACAGGTAAATTGCAGGAAAAAGAGAGAGACACAATGGAAATAACAGTATAGTAATTTCGGTTAGAAAGGTATGCAAATATAGATAGACCTATGAGATGTGAAATGCCTTGTGAACATGACAAGTTTTACAATCATTTGTCAAAAGAAAAGGAATTTCAATACAACAATGGATATTACCTGATTTGCTTTCTTCTAAGAACTATGAGAAAGTTCGTCCGGTTTGATGCCTCTATGCATAAATCCTTTGGAAATCAAACTCTATAATGCATCATACAGGAAACATTTATGATAATTACAGAATGCAGTCATTTTTAAGCATCCAATTTGACTTCTTTTTTTTACCGTCACCAGTTAGAGAACAACTAAGGATATATATTCAAAGAAGAGAACAAGTCCTTCGCATTATAAAGTATACTGTCAAACTGGATTTAAGGAAAAGCCCGAAGAATGCAAGAGCCTAATGTGCAAATTGTGATACACCCTTAGTGCTACAGTACCAAGAAGGCCTTACCACTTCCACCTTAGCTATTATAATGTTCAATCATTTTGCATATTAACGTTCCTGTTGTCTGCTTTTTAAGAACAAAGGTACACACATACACGCATAAGCTAATAAAACAGATTATACGGATAAGAAAATTACACTGGCAATAAAATATGAAAACAGAAATTATCAAAAAGAAAGAATTTTTGTTTTTGTTTTTTTTTTTTTTTTTTTTTTTTTTTTTTTGTATTCTTCTTTTTTGTATAGCCAAGAAAGTAAAATGTGGGCTCTGCTAATTCAGGGCGTAAGGATAATATTTTTCTGTAGAGTGCAACATTCATTGATAAATTTATTCTGGTACTCTATACCACGTAAATTAAACCAACCATATAACTTGTAAACACGCAACTGAGAACTGTTAACACAATAAAATCATTACTCAAAATACAAGTTTCTGAGGAAGATAACATAATGGGACAAGGCATGGTGGTTGCATAGTTTCCTGGAAGCACAAGATATAGAGCTTGGTAAAGTCTGATGTCATGACATGGCATGTTGAAGTTCTTAGAGGTTGCGAATATTAATTGAATCAGTTTTAATTTATTAGAGAAATTTACAAGTTTCAGCTTACAAATGCTGACCTTATTCCTGTATGGGTGAATTGCACTCCGAGGTCAGCACCATATATTTTCACTTCATGATCCGAGCTGGTTCACCCCCGAAGCTGTATAGTGTAATTCATTTCCATCAATTCTGTATGTAAACTACCATGAACATACATAAACACAATTAAATATATATAGATATATGAATTCAGTAATAAATCATACCAAATTAAATAAGATCCAAATATGTACAGCCCATCCAAATATGAAGCACTTACAGAAGATTCCAGAAATCGCATGGCGTCCTCCAGGGGCCTGGCCTCCAGACAAAAGCATTATGTTGTTCAAGCTCTACCCCAGCACGAGCTTACCTGAATTGCCCACCACCAACATTGTGGAAGGTTGCCCAAACTGGCAAGGAAAGAGCTTCGTGATCCAATACAAAACCCCAACTCACAATCAGCATAATCAAATTTCAAGAACTTGCAACCACAGATTCTAAGATTTCCTCAACTAAACCCCTCTATCTAAGTAGCTATTATTTTGTTAAACAAACTACAACTTTACCAAGTCTTTATGTGGAGTTGTTCAATTATTCAATTTCTGATTTCCAAAAAAGAGAAAATTTTAACTAGTTAAAGCAAATCAATGATATACCACAGAACAATCTTGGAAATAAAAGACCATGACCAGAATTTAACAATCAAAATTCAACATCCACTTCCATAAAAGCTTCACGGTTTCCATAGTACTCAGACAAAGCAAAACAGAAGCTGAAACAGAAAGGAGCCTTAATCACCAAAAGGCCGAAACCAGGCAAACCAAGCTTCACATTAATTCATTACAGTCATAATTGCATGACATTTCTACTGCTTGACTAGTTTTATATGGGATAATTGCAATGTCATTTATCCGTTGTAATTTGCATCTGCAGGTTGTCAATTCAATTCAGTTATTATAAACAATGTCGCTATTGCAGATGGCTGTTCAATCCAAGGCTCTTGTTATCTACAATAATAGTATAACACTATGCATATCTTAGATTATGTTCAATTGTTATACTTCATTCATAATATCATACCTCAATTTATTTATCTATAATTGCATAATATTTTCACATGCGTCATATAGTCTAAAAACATGCAATACAAAGATCAAAGATATTAGTTTTTTTGGGTAATACAGTATGATCTACTCAAGTTTACAGAAAGAGACTATACCTCTCCCTTTACACTCCATTATTGTTTTGCATCCAATACATGAAAGAGAGCTTGCAATAATGCAATGCTTAGAAATATGATATCAAATTTTAGCATATTCAATAGTCTGCTTCCCTTCATGAGGCTTACTAAAGAAATAATTGAAGTAATCGGAGTAGAGAACTTGCTTATATATTGGCTTCTCTCCAAGTTGTAATGCTTCTGGCAGAGGACCCATAACTGCATTAGGACCTGGGTTCACAAAGATGGGGACTGAAATCCTGTGCTTCCTTGCACTGGTAACAGCACGGTGCTCTATGCTTTTGTAATGATCGTTACTCATAATCTGTAGTACATCACCAATATTGACTATGAGTGCTCCCTTAACAGGCGTGACATGGATCCAGCCTTCTCTTCCTCGCACATAAAGACCGCCAGTGTCGTCTTGAAGGAGGATGGTGATTGTTGAGGCATCGGAGTGAGGTCCAACTCCGGCTGTGAGATCAGGGTTTGGACATATGGGATAGTGGTTAAAATTAACAATAAGGGTACCCATTAACAGATTTTCCTTGGTTGCACCTATCTCCTCCACATTAAGTCCCTTCATTAGCACCTTTAGGAGCCTTTGGATGACTGGTTTAGCCCACTTCATGTATTCCAAAAGTTGATCCCTTCAAACAATTAGTCAATAATCAAGAAGAATCAATCTTCAAATAATACCAATGGCCTCAAAATTAACTCTTATTGAACAAGACACAATGAATCTGACAAATTCAATGTGTGAATGCAACAAGCTGTTGAAAAATCGTTGCAAAAGAAGAAAAACGAAACCAAAAAAAAAAAATTGTTAACTCGGCTTTCCGGTGAATTGAAGTGACCAATTTCAGCCCGTAGGCAAAATAGGTAAAAGAGTTTGGCAACCCTTAGACACGGGGTCTTTTTCCATGTAGAAAGAAAGATATGTCGCTGAAATCAATCTGGCAAGTGATCCTTGATATCAATCTAGCAAGTGATTTTTCTCGGATTTCTTGATTGAAGGGACTGCAAACCATAATTGTGGGATAAAAAATGAAGAATATTATCTAACAACTTCAACAAAAATTTAATGAACTACGACATAGATAGAGATTAAAATCAAAGATAACAAAAGAATGTGGCTTAAGTGCTTAACTCATCCGGCAAATTAATTTGAGCTAGTTCATGGGCCACAACTGTTTCCATAATGCCGTTATGTAACTGTATGGGTGGTTACCACCACATCTCATGGTCGTGTGATTGAAAATCACAGCCATAAAGGCCACCACCATTATGTAACATCAATTACGACCGTTACACCTTCGTTTTTAGCAGAATAAGCACTGTTACAAAAATGTTAAATCTACATCCTTTTTAGTGTCCAATCTTTAAGTTATAGAAGATTTGAGTTGCTATCAAAATTAGATGAGATTAGTCCTCCCGCTTTTGATTTCTCAAAGAAATTTTTTTACTTTTTTACTTGACTCTTAGATTATTAACTTAGATCTATTTGGCTTTAGGTTAGATTTACTGAACAAAGCGTGGATATCATGTTTTGTACTTTTACATTAGTATGTTGTTGACATATTGCACTATGAATTTTTGTTTCTGACTTCAGGAATATTAATATTAAACATGCTTTGTGTGTGTGTGTGTGTGTGTGTGTGGGTGGGTGTTTTTTTTTTTTTTTTCGCATAACAATGAAAAGTTATTCACAAGTACAATCAATAAAACAAAGAAAATTAAATATATCCAACAAAAGAAGGCGTTTTTTTTTTTTTTTTTCGCATAACAATGAAAAGTTATTCACAAGTACAATCAATAAAACAAAGAAAATTAAATATATCCAACAAAAGAAAAAAAATCTCCATAGTGACTTAAAATGAGTGTAAAAATTAGTGTACATATATTAAACTGAATTCAAAAATGAAAAATAAATAATAAAAAAAACTTAAAACCTAAACCCTAATAAATGTAATTTTGAAATAAAAATGTTTCTCGAAATTGTGTGAAGAAGAAAAAAAATGTATGGCTACGCTACAGCTTACGCCATGCAACTGCATTGACGCCCCCGTAATGCCACTGTTACCATTACCGTGGCCACCAACTGTTACTTAAAACCTCTTGTACTCTCTCAATTGAGAGGTCATGTACCAATTTTTATTAAAGGCAAAAAATTGATTATTTCTTTCCAATAAAGAACTCTTCCTTTAAGTTATTCAGTTGGCTACTTTTTGTACTCTCCCAATTGATAGATAAGTGATGAATTCTTAATAAAGGAAAAGATTTATTATTTCTTCTTAATTAGCAATTAACTTATTTATTTCTTCTGCAATTCGACGCTGTGATTATTGATGTTGATGTTAAATTGTCCAATTTAATATAATTCTCATCATATTTAAGGGTAAATTACACTAACCTCCCCTAATGTTTGAAGAAAATACAACAAACCTCACAATTTTGATATAATTACATTCGATTCACTCTCTTAAAATTTAAATTAACATAACACTTAAACCCCATTACTTTCAATATTTCATATGGATGAAAAAAATGATGTTATTATTTCTTTTACAATAAAATGTATACCTTTTTTTTTATATATTTATTTTTGTATCTTTACTCATCAGTTCTGGTCCATTTAATTTTATTAATAAAGAAGTCAATGAAAGAGGATCTCCAATTATTCACATTATCTTTCATCAAATTTAAATTTAATAAAAAAAAATACTACAAAAGAATCTTTAATCATTTCATCAAATGTTCATTAAATTAAGGAAAAGTCGTTTTTTTATCAAATTTAAATTTGATAAATATTTAAAAAGACAAAGCATTGAAAATAATTATGTCAAAACGATTAGACTAGTTATATTTTCTTCAAATCTCATAAGTGTAATTTACCCTATTATGTCAAAACGACGAGACTAGTTATATTTTCTCCAAATCTCATCAATGTAGGCAAATTTCCCCTACATTACGCATCCCCTACAATAGCCATCCTTTTTTTGTTTTTGTTTTTTATTTGAGTCACATCGGTTCTCTAACACTATGTTTGGGAATTTAGAAAAGAAAAGAAAAGAAAGAATTACTTAAGATATAAGAGAAAAGAAAAGAAAAGAAAAGAAAAGTAATGATTGTGATTTATTTTCTTAGTTGGATAAGTAAGAAATAAAATAAAAGAAATGATTATGATTTCTCTCCATCTTGTTTGGTTAGATTTCATAAGAGTATGGGTCTTCTGAAAATTCTGAGGATTCATCAGTTCCAGAAGAAGGAAATGATGGCATGGAGGATAGGGCAGAGCTCTTTGATCCTAATCTTGATTGGTTATTCCATGAAAATGCGGCTTCGGACTCTGATAGCAAGGAATGCAATGAGGGTAAGGAATGTGATGGTGGTTCTGATTCTTGTGAAAAGGTCCGTGACTCTTGTGAGCAGGGCAATATGAAGTCTGTACTTTCCGACCATAATCAGGGAGCTTTTTCTGCGATAGTTTCTGGGTCAGTTTTGGAGAGGGGGAGGGAGTCGCATGATGTTCCAGTCTATCATCATTCTCGTGGGATGGCTTCCATTAGGGAGGATATTGTGTCTCATGCAATCAATAATAGCTTGGCTACCACTAACAGTTTGGTTCCACCTGCAGCTAATGAGGAAGATCATAGGACTGGACTTTCTGAGGGGGTATCTCCGGATCATGGGCTAGGAGTTGACAGTGTTTCTGGGACTGATGTTGATGAATCTGAGCGATGGTTGAGAAAAATGAGTAAATATGTATCCTTTCCGTTGGAGGAAGGGGATGTCCCCCATTTTGTGCACTTGCTTGACACACTTGGGTTGACTCTAGTAAAGAATAATGGGTTTAAGTCTAGATCCAAGAAGAGGGAGTTTGTACCCAAAGGGGGCAACACTCAAAAAAGTTCGGGGCATAGAAAAGGGTGGAGGGAGCTGAGGAATCTTAAGAGTGACATTAATTATGAGGGAAGGGAGAAGGAGGTCAAGGGTGGTCTAGGTGCTCAATGAAGATTTTGAGTTGGAATGTTAGAGGACTACGGTTCCGTAGAAAGAGGGCAGTAATAAAAGAATTTTTGAAAGTGCATCAGCCAGATATAGTCATGCTTCAAGAGACTATGTGCGAGGAGTGTGATAGGTCTTTTATTCAGAGCATTTGGGGGACTCGATTTAAAAAGTGGGCTGTATTACCTTCTAGTGGGAGGTCAGGGGGTATTTTGATTATGTGGTATGATAGAATAGTTTCGGAGTGTGAAATACTTTTGGGGGCTTTTTCATTGTCTATCCAGTTTCGCAATCGGGACAATAGTGAGTGGTGGTTAACAGGAGTTTATGGTCCTAATAGACCTAGGGAAAGTCAGGTTTGGTGGGAGGAATTGGGGGGTTTATTGGGGCTCTGTGTGCCTAATTGGTGTGTGGGCGGTGACTTCAATGTGGTTAGGCTCGTGTCTGAAAAGCTTAATGGGACTTCTTCCAATAGAAGCATGAGGGATTTTGATTCTTTCATTAGGGAGGGTGAATCGATTGATCTCCCTTTGAGCAATGCTAGGTTTACTAGGTCTAACCTTCAAGAGAATCTTGTGTGTTGTAGATTGGATAGGTTCCTTCATACCTTGGGGTGGGAAGGGTTGTTTCCCGATATTAGACAAGAGGCATTGCCTAGGGTTATGTCCGATCATTGCCCAGTGATATTTGAGAGTTGCCCCTTCAAATGGGGTCCTTGTCCCTTTAGGTTTGAGAAAGCGTGGTTGGAGGATCGTCTTTTTAAGGGCTATTTTAAGGTTTGGTGGGAGAGCTGTAGTCCCCAAGGGTGGGAGGATTTTAAATTCATGTGTAAGCCGAAAAGGGTCAAAGAAAATTTGAAAGTCTGGAAGCATGATGTCTTTGGTGATTTGAATATTTTGGGGAAAGTTCTGTCCAGAAGAATTAGAGATGTTCTTAGGGAAACGATTTCTGCTTCACAGGGTGCCTTCGTGCATGGAAGGCAAATTTTGGATGTGGTCCTAGTGGCCAATGAGGTTGTGGAGGAATATAGAGCGTCACGTAAGGAGGGGGTAGTATTTAAGGTAGACTTTGAGAAAGCATATGATCATGTGGATTGGAATTTTTTGGACTTTGTTTTGGAAAGGAAGGGTTTCGGTTTTAAGTGGAGGAAGTGGGTTTGGGGGTGTGTGTCATCGTGCAATATGTCGGTTATTGTGAATGGAAAAGCGGAAAATTCTTTTCATGCATCTCGGGGATTAAGGCAGGGAGACCCATTATCACCGTTTTTATTTATCGTAGTGGTTGACGTGTTGGGAAGGTTAATTGATGTTGCTAGAGATAAAGGGGTTACTGAGGGGATTGTGGTGGGTAGAGATATGATTAGTGTGACTCGTTTGTAGTTTGCAGATGATACCATATTTTTCTCTTCTAAGGAGGAAAGTATGGTCTGTAATCTACTTATGCTCTTGAGGATCTTTGAAGTTGTATCCAGCCTTAAGGTCAATCTCACTAAGAGCTGTGTTGGGTATTAATCTTGAGCGTAGTTGCGAGCTTCGTATGGCAGAAGTGTTGGGTTGTCCCATTGAGAAGCTCCCTCTCAAGTATTTGGGGCTCCCATTGGGTGGCGATCCTAGAACAGAGGCCTTTTGGAATCCAGTCCTTGTTAAGATTGGGAAAAGATTGGAGGGTTGGAGGCAAGCATTGTTGTCTCGGGGTGGGAGATACACTTTGGTATAATCAGTGTTGAGTTGTATTCCTATTTATTTTTTGTCCCAATTTTGGGAGGATGTTTGGGTGGGGGTGACATCTTTTGATAAAGCTTTTCCACTTTTATACCGATTGGTTCATCTTCGAAATGTGTCAATTGCGTCGGTGGCATGTTCTAATGTGGCACCAATCACTTGGAATTTCAATTTCCTTAGGAATCTAAATGATAGGGAGTTTCTTGAGTTGGCATCTTTGTTGACATTGATTGATGGGGTTTCCTTAGTTTCATCTCCCGATAAAAGGGTATGGAATATCAGTTCTTCAAGGGTCTTTTCTTGTAAATCTTTGTTTGACAATCTCATTGATAAGTCCTCCATTCCTTTGTTTCTCTTCATATGAAAATCTGGAAAGCGGGTGTTCCTCATAAAGTGAAATTTTTCACGTGGTCCTTAATTCATAGGGGTGTCATAACCAATGACTTTTTCCAAAGGAGAAGGCCTAATCACTATCTTTGCCCTCAATGGTGCGTGATGTGCAAGAGGAGTTCGGAATCGGCGGATCATCTCTTTCTTCATTGTTTGGTGGCTATGCAGTTATGGCAGCGTCTATTTGGTTTGTGTGATGTTAAATGGGCTCCTCCACGGGATTGCACACATATGCTTCTTGTTAAGTTTGATGGGTTCAGCGGCTCTAAGAAAGCCAAAACCTTGTGATCTTGTATTGTTTGTGCTATTTTCTGGATTATTTGGCTGGAAAGGAATTCAAGGATTTTTTATGGAAAGGAGGCTACTGTAGACTCTTTGTGGGATAGGATTGATTTTTTGTCTTTATTTTGGGCTTTTGTGTCTCCTCCGTTTAAAGAAGTTCCACTTTTCTTGATTTCTAGGGATTGGTTTGCTATTTGCAACCCTTAGTGTTTGGATTTTCTTGTTTTCTCTTTCTTTTTTTTTGACAACTATTTTTATTCTGATTGGGTTCTTGTTCATTATATGAGGACTTCTTGTCCTCCACACTTTCTTCTTTAATAAAATTTCTTGTTAGCTTTCACCAAAAAAAAAATAAAAATCATAAGAGAAAAAAAAAAGAAAAGAAATTATTTTATATTATATTACCAAAACAATTTTTTTACATTTTCAATCATTTTATTTATTTTATTTTTATTGAGACAAAAATGGTATTATGAAAATATTGATTACTTTTCTCTCTCAATCTCTTCACTTTTGGAAAAACTGATAAAAGAAATGAGTTTCTCTCTGTTTCTTTTAATTTCTCTTCATTTCTCTCCACTTAAGTTATCCAAATAAATAAGAAAAATACATATCTCCATGCTCTTTTTTTGTTTTTTTTTTTTTTTCAAATCACGCAATCCAAGCATAGCATAAGTTTTGAACAACTTTCCGTAAAAAATTCACGCAATGTCACGCCCTCAAAATAAACCCAATGATATGTATATCATTAACATGCATTACTTAAAGAAAACAATTTATTAATTTCATTCATCAGAGTATTACTAAATAAAAACATTACAGGTAACATCAAATTAAATGTCCTATGGGCTTACATCTTTCCAAGCCAACACTTGGATACAAAATATGAGTTCTAACTCAAATACAAATAAAGCCCTAGGCTTGATTATTTATCAAATAAAAACAAACAACTAAAGACAATCTTCAAGATCCAAATCCTTCCAAGCTAAGTCCTGGGAGGTAGCTTATCACCTGGACCTGAAAATGATGTTCCCATAAAGGGTGAGCCACAGCCCAGTAGAAATATACTAAACCAAATATAAGCATTGAATAAAGCATCAATATTTAATAGATGGTTAAGCACTTGAATCAACCACTTCATTATACAGTCTCATGACACTAATCGTCTAAACACGTTTTACTTCTCAACATTATCAATATGGCTGCAGAACTAATAGGCCAAACTATACAACAGTGAACTATATATATATATTATTACACATTCTTCAATGTCACAAACAATTGAGACTCAGGCTCCAATCAAAACACTTCATACTTTCAGTTTGATACACTTTTATGTGTTTGTATCAATAAAACACTTCAATATAAATAAGCAACATAAAAGTGATGCTAATGGAGGTCCTCCCTCCAAAAAAATCCGGTTTTAGAGGTCCATCCCTATTTTCTCCTAAACGCATGGAGTACACCCCTCATCTTCCTCCCACACAAAACCAATTGTATCAAAACACATCACACATATCAACACACAACTCAATACACATAATGTCCCTGTATTAAATTCAGCAGTTAAAATTGATGACTTAATCAATGATTAGTTTCAATTATCCTAATCCACATGCAAATGTCTACAAAAGCACAGACTATGCTCCACCGATAGCCCAAACACGTTATTTCTAGAACTTGAGAAATCAGATATACCACATTCAATAGGGACGTGATTACCATTATCGGCATACACCATTTAATCAATAAAATCACAATTTCTCCAGAATTAACACCAATTCCCAATTCCCTTAAATTAATTATACACCATTAATTAATATACCATAGGGTTTTTTCCCAAAAATTATACAAAGTAATCCAACACATCATACCAAAACTCTAGAACAAAACTTATGAAATGGAGGTGGAAATCCCTACCTCGAAGAAATAAGCCCAAAAGAGAAGATGGAGTGAAGACCCAAATCCAAAGTGCTCCAAACTACCAACACTCAGATTAAACGAAGCCCTCGACTCAACACTCTTTTTAATGAAGGATCTAGGGTAGAAACACACCCTAGTGGATCAAATCTAAGAGAGAAGGTGAGCAAGGTGAGAGAGAAGTCGGACCTTAGTTTGGAATCTAAAAAGAAGATGAAAAACTGATTAAAACCCGCTGCTGTCTAATTTAACTGGACAGGCTCGCTCGAGCGAAGACTTGGTCGCTCGAGCGACCAGACACAAGAAATCCTCGCTCGAGCAAAGAAAAGCTCGCTCGAGCCAAGAATGCAATGCTACAGGTCCATACTAGACGCAATCGCTCGCTCGAGCTAAGAAAATCTAGCTCGAGCCACCAAACACAAAATACAACCCTCGCTCGAGCGACCAAGTACTCGCTCGAGCGACCAACCCAAAAAACTGGACAGCAACACTTGGTTTCCGAACCCAACCAACCTAAAACAAACCTGCCCAACACATCCTATAACTCCAAATAAGAAAAAAAAAGAATGACAACAACAATTATACAATGACAGAATCTACGAAACCTAAGTCCGGATACAATAATCAAATGGGATAAGACCGGGGTCGCTATACGCAATCCAAGCATAGCATAAGTTTTGAACAACTTTCCGTAAAAAATTAAAAAATTACACTTGCCACCAAACAAATAATCTCCTATTGTATTACCAAAACAAATAAAATAAACTCATGAGATAAAGTTGAAAAATTGAAATACATACCTGGAGACAGAAGGCCATGAATCAGAACCTTTTGAATCATCTTCATCTTCCACTGAACCATTATCACCATTGCAATAAATGTGAGTAAGGTAATCTTTCCACTCCAAAACCTTTTCCTTATGGGGGGTGAAGCTAGTCTTCAACTGCACACTAGTGTTGGTGTTGTTCTTGCCATTGAAGATGTACTTTCTTCTCTCCTCAACCGGTAACCCAAAGAACCGGTGACCCGCCTTCATCACATTCTCAAGGACTTCCAAGGGCACTCCGTGATTGACGATCTGAAAGAATCCGAATTTCTCAGCTGCTTCGCAGATCGATTCTGAGACCTTTGGGTCATCGTTGTCCCAATTCGATACATCGATGATTGGTATGGAAGAGGACGATGATGAATCACAAGATGTTGGTGGTGCCACGTGGATCCGATCTTCAATAGGTTGGATGAATTGGTTGGGGACTGTTTTGAGGCGTGTGTCTGAAAGACCTTTGACTCCATTGCCTTGGTTGAGCACGAAATCGAGGACGTCGAAGGGCTCAGAGAGCTTCGCCATTTGCATCGCATATGGTGGAGGTGGAGTAGGTAGGTGAAGAGGAGAGGAATACAACTTGGCGCAAATGTACAGTATAATCCTCTGTCTCAACAGTTGGAGAAGCGACTATAACTTATTGTCTAACGAGTTATAGTTTATAATTGTGAATATAAATTAATTTTTGACTTATAAATTAAAAATTTTTTTATTTAAAAGGTCAGTTGATTTTTTATTTATAAAAAATTATAAATTGTATTATTAAGTTAAATTAAATATATCAAAATAATTTAAATTAAATTAAAAATTAAAATAAATCAGAAATAAATTTTACCAAACAAGGCCAATATAAGAATAATTTTTATACGCGGATAAAATATACACATTATTATTATAGACATTGTTAGTGTATTCATTATATTTATATTATTTAAAAAATAATAAGAGATATATATAAATTGATAGGAGATAGTGTTACGTGATATCTTATTAATATATAAAAGAATTTAAACACGGTAGACACCTTATAATTATTAAGAAAATGAAACCAAATGACACATAATTTTATATTTTTTTAATCATAATTAAAATAAATAAAAAAATTTATAACCAAAAAATATATAAGATATAATTAAAAATTTTATGACTGATAACTACAATAAGATCATAGTTAAAGAAAAAAATTAACCATAACTAAAAGAAAAATAACATAATTTAATAGTGTATAATAAATTTTTTTATATTTTTAAGAAAAATTTCACACTTATTAATAGTTTTATTAAAAATATAAGAGATTAAATATGATTAATTATCAAAAATAATAATATTTAAATATCAACTAATATTTAAAAATGTATTAATTAAATTGTTAGTAAGAAATTGTTCTTGTTTTACACCAATTACTATCCCTTCGATGGAGGAACGTAACTCAAGTAGTACACGCTTTTTTATTAGAAAAATGATTTATTTTTCAATTTTATCTCCTCAATTTCATTTCCAATAATGTGGAATTAGAGGAGATTAAATATAAGAAAAGAAGAGTGTAAGACCGCTTCATATAAATATTAGTCATGTCATTAAGGGTGGAATTAGGAAAATAAAATTATAAAGATGTAATTTTGCTCTTTTTATTATTTAGTTTTTAAAATTTTGAGTAATTTTTTTTATATTTTGTTATTTTGTTATCTTTTTAGATACATATAATCTAGATATATTTAAAAAGTACAATATTTGTTATTTAAAAAAAAAGATTATAAAGATTTATTATATTTTTATATTTTTTGTATTTATTGAATTTTTAAAAAATTTTGGGCAAAGCACCAATAAATTTTAAATTTGGGAATGTTAAACCATTAAGTCTTGGTGTTTATTTCAAGGACTAATAAGTCCTATATCAATTGTAAAGACTTTAGTAAACATGGTTTGGGCGCATAGGCTTCGACAAGTGAGGGTAAATGTGGGTTGGTGTTGATGTTCAATTTACGAAAAAGTCCAACAAAGAACTGTAGTGTTTTGTGCAATCGAATCCGTAACAATGAAGACGGTAGGGTTTGGACTTAGATTTTGATGTTGCAGTGATTTCTATCGCATATTTGGCATGATTTTGATTTTGATTTGGTAATGTTTGATGTTAATTTCTGAAATTAGCATTTGATTACGTTTGTAAACCCTAGTTGCCCAAATCGACATTTGATTACCTTTGTCATTCTTAATATGTTGCATTGATCGTGAGGTTAGGTGTGATCACCATTTCGTTCATTTCTCTAACAGTGAAGACGACATCTACACATTGCCGTCGTCGGAGAACGTTGCCAGATAACATGGTGCCAGGTATTTATTTTTTGGGCTTCTGATGTAGGGCTGGGTTTGTTTCCCATTATGGATTTGGTGAAAATGTACGTGTTACATTATGTTCCCTTTGCGATTGTTTGTCTTGATTTTGTGTGTACGTTGTGGTGGTGGTGTTGTGCGTAATGTACATTAATGTGTGTTAATGTCAATGCGGGGATGGAGTTTTGTTTGCTTGCTGCTCTAGCTATGACCATTATTTCGTTGTTGCCTTGTGGTAATGTAGGTTGGTGTATTAGTTTGAGTAATCCAAACATGGGTGTTGTTTTGTTTTTGTTATGCTGTTATGGTGGGCCTGTCGTTTGTTTGATAATGTGGGTGAGGGACCCCAGATTTTTTGGCATTGAAAATTGTTGTTGGTTGTTATTTTTTTGTTTTGACCAACACTCTTCAGTATATAACTTGGTTTGCATGTATTTGATAGATGACCGTTGTTATGAGATGTAGTGTCATTGAATTGGTATAAGTGACGAATGGTTTGTGTTTTTTAGTGTTTTCATGGAGCTAAGATCTATGTATGGTTTTAAGGTGGGGGCCATTGTACGTTGTTATTTGATAGGTAATGGCGTGTGAATGGACATGGTAACTATACATTGGTGTTCCATGTGCGTTTTGAAACAAGTATGGGCACTGATTTTGTTAGCATGGAAGCCATGATTGTGTTGAACAAATGTCGTAGTTCGCGTAGCTGGGTTGTAAGTTTGGTGGTAAATTTTTTTGCAGTAAAATTTAGTATAGTGAAACTGGGTGGTATGTATGTGGTACTGCATTATAACATGCTAATGTGGTAATGTTACATTTGTTTCAGGTAGTTCAAGTCGGCCAAGTGCTAGACACAACGCTCAGGGGAGAACTCCGCGCTCACGTTCGACAGTTCAGACGTCGACCCATTTAGTAACCAAGAGGCAAGCACAATTGCCATTCAAAAAATGTAAAACAGCATCAAGGCCTGTTCTAAAAACTATTGTGGATATGTTGAAATTAATATACCGTTCCAATGTTGCCGATGTGATCAAAACTGTGTTAGAGCTTGAGTTTGGTGATAAGCACGTGAAACAATTGCAGAAGACACCGTTTTGGCTCATGATTAACGTAATTTGAGTACATAAGTTGGATCCAAAATCATTTAAGAAGTGCGATACAACCGTGTGCCGTATAATTTAGACATACGATCTAAGTGATGAGAAATTTCACATCGAGGGGAGAGGACTGCCACTCCATAACAGTGACATCCGCTTGCTTTTTAGGATACAATGTGGGAATGATAAGTTAGATTTGGCGCATGGTGGTAAGGCTCCTTCAGATTTTATCCAACGACGGTGCCCAAACGTCAATAGGATTTTTGCCAAGGTTTTATCAAAGACTTACTCATGGTGGCAATGCGTAGGAAGATGGAACGTGATGAAGAAGATGTTACGAAACTGGTGTGCCTGTACATATGTGCGAAGTTATTTTTTGCGATGATAGGCAAGTCTATCGAATAGGCATTCATGCGAGTGATCGATAAGTTGGACACGTTGCGCCTGTACGATTAGACAACAACAATCCACAACGCACTGATTGGTTCGTTGAACGAGACGCATAATAGGCCAGAAAAAATTATCAAATGTGCAGTTGCATTACTGGTATGTTAGTACTTGATAAATAGTGTAGTATCAATATAGTACACAACGTATCTTACAAAGAACTTGATGTTGTATGAAACATTATTAAATTTTTTTCATGGTTATTGTTCCTCCTTTGTGAGCACACATCCATTGTGGACTCAAACAAACGCAATGTGTCACCACAGTTTTGCTGGTGGAACCTTGGGAAATTCATAGGAAAACTGAAAGGTGTGGACCTATCGGTGGAGGGTTCCATAGAGGTATGCCTTACGACTTCTTGCTAAGGTGTGTTTCATGTTTTGTTAATGTGTAATTGAAGTTGTTTCATTGTTTTATTATATTATTTTTTTTGCAAGTTAATATTGAGAAACTTGGTGGGACTATCATCGAGCGGTATTTTGTCAAGGTATTAGTAGATGCGCCTGTGACTGTTGAACATGGTCAAACTGTGTTAGAGGTCAAGCTGGTTAGTACGTAGGATGGAGGTGTTACTAATGTGGTTGGTGAGAAGTTTAACGTCGGAGAACTTAGTTTGGATTGTTGGCAGCTAGATTCGCCACATGGATGTAAGGTTGAATTGACGTCAGCAAGGAAGGAAGAATACATTCCCACGGCGCAGACTTGTGATAGAAAGAAAGTGGATAGAAAAATGTTGGCAACTGGGGAAGCATGGCCGGTCTTGTTTCCCGACCAGCTAAACCTGTTGTAGACACCCCATTTTTGACCGCCCGTAAGACTTGGACGCGACTGATGGTTTACATGGTGGAGAAAGGTGTGCAGGGGAAAGGTTCAGTTTCTTCGGCAATGAGAGAGTCAAATCTCAACTTCATACCCCTTTTTGGACCAAAACAATCTTAATCAAAAGATTTTAGAGCTTAAAACCCTCTCTTTCAAAACGATTTTGAAATAAAGTTTTTACGATGTTCTGAGGCTCGCATTTTGTCAAATGTTGCGCTTTTCGGTAAACCGAGCAAGGACAAAGTAGAAATGAATGAAAGAGAGATGAAATCTTTGAAAAATCTTTCAAAACACTTTGTTTAGGGGTTTGGAGTTGAAGAAAAGAGGAAAGGAGAGAAGAAAACTAGTTTGGGAGAAGTTCGGCATGAATCCAGGTAAGACCGAAACTGCACGACTCCACCGAAACGGGCATAACTCTTTGCACAGGGGGAATTTTGATGCAAGGTTGGTGCCATTGGAAAGATAACTTCTGGGGCTTCAATGTGGCCACATAGAAGACCAGAAAAATCAGGTGGTCAAAAGTGGTTCAGTATGAATTCGGGAGGACCAAAACTGCGCGGCTTCACCAAAACGGGCATAACTCTTTGCACAGGAGGAATTTAGATATGAGGCCATTTCCATTGGAAAGGAGACTTCCTGAGCTTCATTTTACACTCAAAAATATCCTAAAGCCAAGTCCGGGTGGGGGAGATATGGTTGGTTGAAGTCCGATTAGACCGAATCTGCGCGACTTCACCAAAACAGGCATAACTTTTTACACAGGAGGAATTTTAATGCAAGGTTTGCGGCATTGGAAAGCTAACTTCTGGGGCTTCATCCTAGGGGGTGGCCGACCACATTGAACCTTTTGACCTGGTCGGCCGACCAGGTCAAGTGGTCGGCCGACCACTTGAACTGGTCGGCCAGTTACCCTCTGTTTTGTCTCTCTGAG